CCCCCCCCCCCCCTTTCAATTTATTTTTCTGAATTTGTGACCCTCTGTATTGGCTGTCAAATCTGAAAAGCTTTAGCCTTTTTTTCCTGTAATTAGATAAAAGTTTTTATTTGTTAGATCCAGCTTTTGATTCCTTAGGCTGTGTTTGGCAATGGGTTAAATGAAGGGTTAAGAGGGTTTATCCCTTCGTTATCCTGCCAAACAGAAAAAAAAGCCCCATGATTAACTAACCCGCACGTGAGGGATAAAACTCCTTTATCCCGTGAATTGAAGGGTTAACAATTCCTCTGAGATCGGCGGAACAAGGCTTATTCCCTCTTCTCTCGCAAGGGTAGGCGGAGGAATTTTTTCTAGATCTTGGCAGCGGAAATTTGGCTACCTCCACGCCGCGTTCGAGTAGAAGCAGTCCTCCGGCAAGTCCTTCGACTACTGCCACTCCCTCCACGCCCACTCCTCCTCCGCCCCCGCCGCCGACGAGCACCAGATCACCGCCTACCTCCCCCAATTCAGTGCGTTGGTCACATCCAGCCCTTCAGCTGCACCCTCGCCATCGACGGATCCTCCCTCCTCCTCCTCGCCTTCTCTGAGAACTCCCCCGACCTCCTCGACCTCGTCCCCCAATCCGTCCTCGTCCTCGACGACGACAAGAGATCCGACCCTCTCACCCTCGGCACCGACGTCCGCTCCCTCTTCACCCCATCCCCCGCCGCCCTCCTCGAGCGTGCTGCCACCGCGCGTGAGATCACCCTCCTAAACCCCATCTAGATCCACTCCAAGCACTCCGGCAAGCCCTTCTACGCCATCGCTCGTTCATCCTTCAAGGCTTTCCTTGAGGTGGCTGTCAAGAGCAGGAGCTTGCCATGGGAGAATGCGGAAATGGACGCTATACATTCACTGCAGCTTATTTTGAGAGATTCACTACCACAAAATAGATATACGGGGACGGTTCTTTGGGGACGGTTTAAAACTGTCCCCTTTGCCTCCTTGCTTATCAATCTCTGGAGATGAATCATGAAATTCTAAAATTCATTCCAAATACAAATTGTTGTATCCAAATTGTATATTGTTCCCCTTTCTCCAGAAAAGTGTGATTTACATTTATATCCAAACACAACGCAAATGAAACAGGTGGTGAACAAAATGTTTATTTATTTGCATGTTATTGTTTATTCTTGTTGCCTTTATATATATATATATATATGACACTTTCTTTTTAATAAAAGTTGTATATATCGGAATATTCTAACAGGCATGAACAACTACTATGATTTCTTTATCTTCATCAGAAGATTTGCTTCAATTCGACCCTCGACAATCTACGAAACCATGGCGAAGCATTCCTTTGTCCAAGCAAAGGCTAACATTCTTATTAGTAAGCTTCCATCAATTCGTAAGGTTGCCTGGATAATGGTATTAATTGACGCTGCAGCAGAAGAGAAGTCTGTGTTTATTTAGCCTAAATTTTTTTTGATGAGGTAATTATTTATAAATCTCCAATAAGGACGAAACTGGTATTTTTTAAAAAAGTAATGAGATTAATCTTCTTAACCCCTCTTCATTTGCCAAACACAAAAGACTTAACCCCTTGTCTTAACTATCGTATCCAAACGGGTTTAGGATTTTTTTAACCCTTCACGATGGATTAACTAAGTTAACCCTTCTCTTTAATCCCTCCTCCTTAACCCTTTGCCAAACGGGGCCTTAGGGTTTAAATTAGAGATCCCCAATATTTTTGTAATAGATATTTTTATTTGTTTTTTCCCCCTAAAAGACATTAACTAATGTAAAAAGGATTTTAAGATCTAAATCTATTGGACTAGTGGGTTTGAAGTTCAGTTGTGTTCTCCAGTTATTTTCAGCTGATAATTGTCTAGCATTATATAAGCCATATTATGATGTTGCTAAAATCAATGCAATTCATAGGGATAATATTATTTGTTATGCTAGAGATGAATAACACCTGTATAACTAATAGTGAAGAGTTTAATACGAAGAAGTTTATTGTAGAAAAGATCCAAATCCACCAAAAATTAGCGCTGGAAAACTATTATAGTAAAACTGTTTCTTTACCCCCTCCTTATGTTGACGTTTTGCTGATAACACCCTAACCTAACTTAATTCCAAAAAACCACCCTGAAATTTGAGGATAGGGTGCTAAATCATATCCGTATCCGAGAAAATATCCATAATCATATGTGTTAGGATGCAAATATGGTTCCTCAAATCTATAATCGATATGTTATACTTGCAGATGTGGTTTTGTAGTGCAGTATCCGGATCAGTATACGAAATATCTGAATACATATTTTTCATATTTTACAATAGTTTTTATTCTTAGATTATGCATTTGAGGTTAAGCTTAATGACCAAGATGCCTAATCTTAGCTTTTTAGATATAACAAACATTAATTAACTCTTTTGTATCACATGAACTATAATTTTTTTAATATTATCTATTGTTCTTATATCCATTTTGTATTGACATGTATATTCGCTTATATATATTCGCATGTATATCTGCATCCGTTCCGATTTAGCTGATATTGATATAAAATTTTCTTATCGGGCTATATCCATATCAGTATCCATGATGGGTAAGCAAATATGAATATGGTAAGTATCATATCCGAGCCATATCCGGACTGAGTGCATCGTTAAATTTAGCACATAACCCCCGAACTTCGTTAATTCCACTAAGCCCTTGAATGTTTTTCATTTTAACCCCACAAAGTATCGCAATCAAGTCTAACTTGTGACGAGTCTAACACATGATCATAGAAGGCGAAAATAATCCTCATCCCTCAAATAATCACTCTTTATCTTCCATTGATTTTTTTTTATAGCTGAGACGAGGTACTTTCGTCTTTTAGTCATGTGCGTAGCACATTACATGTTGGAGTTCTCGGTATTAGACCCTGGGGGGTTAAACTGAAAACTCATTAAAGGGATTTAATGGAATAAGAAAAGTTCAGGAGTTTATATACGAAAACCCTCAACATTTGAGGGCTTGTGAAACTAAAATAGTTAAGAGGTTATCAACAAAACCTCCCACATATCAAGAGGTTTTCTGAAATCAACCCTTGTTTATGTATATTTTAATATTCATTCTGCTCCCGGATCTCTTAGTTATTTTTTATTTAACAAGCTCTCTTTATCATTGTACATTATCGGCATATGCATATGTAGGATGAACGACAATTTTTACAAAATTAAACTGTTCAAACTCTTATAGTTCATGTAGATGTAGGAGTTGTAGCTGAAGCAATTTCAATTGTTTTTTTTATTTTAAAGATTTTTCATATTTTTTTCTCAGTATAGGTGTTAGATTTTGCCAATTTCCTTTCCATAATTCTATAAATCATGTAATTTTAGTTTTTGAAAGTCTTTTCAGTTTTAACTGGACAATGCAATCTTAGATTTAGAAGCGTCTTTTTCTGTTTAAAGCAATCATCTTGTCTTGGATAAACACTTTTTTCCTTGTCAATGTAGCTATTATAACTTTTTCCCCTCCTTATTTTGTGCTATATTTTAACTTATTATTTATGTACTTAGTCTAGCACTGAGTATATCTTTTTTTTTAATTATTTCCTTGTGTTTTATCCTTTTCAGGAATATTATAAATGGGTTCATTGGACAGACTCCCTATCGATATTTTGGAACTAATCGCTGAAAAATTAGCTGATCACGCAGACCTTCTCCGGTTTGGTGATGTCAGTAGGAAATTTCGCTCCATTGTTGTGGATAACCTTCATTTGCTTCCATCAAAATTACCATTGTGCCTCTGTGTCCTCCCTAGTAAACCGCCTCCCCTTCCATTGCTAATGCAATGTCGCGACAACGAGTGGGAAGTGACCAACTTTTTTTCTCTCTCTACTGGAAGAAATCACGGGGAGTTTTTCATGCCAGAAATAAGAAACAAGTGGCCTGCAGGATCCTCTCATGGTTGGTTGTGCATAGTGAATACCCACGGTGCCAGAAATAAGAAACAAGTGGCCTGCAGGATCCTCTCATGGTTGGTTGTGCATAGTGAATACCCACGGCCGAGACATTCAGCTCTTGAATCCATTGACTAGGCCGGGTCCAAATCCCTCTCCCATCTCTGGATGCATTCGAACATCCTGAAGGCGGTTTCACAGACGCAGAACATGATGATTTTGGATTTGTAGAGAAGGCTGTTATATCATCAGATCCTTCAAAGAAGAGGGGAAATTTGGATGATGATGATGGTGATGATCACATATTGGTCATGGCAATCATCTCTCTTTCTCATGTGCTATCATTTTGTAGGATAGGGGACGACAAGTGGACTAATGTGGAGGATTCCCCGCTTCACCTCACTGATGTTGTCTACTACAAGGGTCAGATTTATGCTGTTAATTATGAGGGGATAGTCGTTGTTTATGATTTTTCAGGCGACAAGAAGATGAAACAAATTGCAAATTCACCGGATTTCTTGTGTCCAGCTCAGAGATATTTGGTTGAATCAACATGCGGTGACCTACTGCAAGTTGTAAGGGTGTACGATTATGAAGGTACGTATAAACAAACATCTGAGTTTTTGGTGTACAAGCTTGAAGCTGTTGATGAACTCATTGAGCCTGAGGAGTACCCTGTGTACTACACCATCGGCTTCAGAAAACCAGAGAGGGGTAAATTCAAGTTTAAGTGGGTTAAAATGGAAAGCTTGGGTGATCAAGCGTTGTTTCTAGGTCAGAACTATTCGCTTTGTGTACAAGCATTAAACTATCAAGGATGCAAGCCGAATTGCGTATATTTTACAGAGCACGGTTTAGCGCAGAGAAACATTCCACGAGGGCTTGTTGAAGAGGAGGACATGGATACAGAGTGTTTTTGTGATATGGGAATATATGATTTCGGAGATAAAAAGTTTCAAAGGTTTAACAAACTGGATGACAAGTACCAAGTTCCGCCCACGTGGGTCTCTCCAAATCCATGGTAGATTCATGCATGATTCATCATTTCTATTTAATTGCATGCCAGATTAGATTTCAATTTATATAGTGTGGTTGATTAAATTATCTCGAGATTAAATTATCTCGAGATTCAATTTATATAGTGTGAAAACGGCGAAGGAATTGTGAAAAACGTGAAGAATAACCCAAAACAGACTCCACCACACCCTGGTGTGGTGTCTGCCATGGGTGTGGTAGAATCTGTCCTGCACCACACCCTCTGCCACACCCACGGTGCAGGGTGTGGCAGAATCTGTCCTGCACCACACCCTCTGCCACACCCATGGTGCAGGGTGTGGCAGACTCGTTTTTAGAATCCCAATCAGTTTGGGATTGTGTTTTGCTATAAATAGAGACACGTTTTTTAGGGTAGGCAATTTGCCGAACCACGTAAAACCTTGGTGTTTGTGTTTTGTTTGGTCTTTCTCTCGGCGTTCGTTGGTTTGGTTTCTCAAAGCATCAGTCACAACAAGTGGTATCAGAGCACGGGCAACGCTTGGGCTATTTGGAGGAGTAGATCGCTTTGGAAGTTCATCTAGGGCTTCGTTTGGTGATAAAGGTGGGATCTTTTTTTGTAAAAATCTCGTCTTTTTCAGTTTGGATCTATTTCTCGTTTGTTTCCGCATTGGTTTGGTGGTGCCTTGAGGATTATGGCCGAGAAAGAAGGAGTTGTGGGCAGTACTTCCGGCGTGAAGACCGTCCAAAGCTTGAATATCCACTCAATGAAGATTGATGTGGAAAAGTTCAATGGCACAAACAATTTTGGACTTTGGCGATGCGAAGTCATGGATGCGCTCAACGCGCAAAATTTGGAAGATACGTTGGAGTTGGACGGGAAACCGGACAACATTGATGAGAAGGTTTGGAAAAAGATGAATCGAACGGCGTGTGGTGTGATTAGGTCTTGTCTCACTCAAGATCTAAAGTATGATGTGATCAATGAGACTTCTGCAAAGAAGATTTGGGAGATCCTTGAGAGCAAGTATTTGACCAAGAGTGTGGAGAATCGCTTGCATTTGAAGAGGAGGCTTTACCGCTTCCAGTTGAAGAAAGGAACCTCCATTGGTGATCACATGAACCACTACACGAAGCTTCTTGCGGATTTGGCGAATGTGGATGTTAAGATTGAAGATGAGGACAAGGCGTTGTTGCTATTGAGTTCCTTGCCTGACGAGGAATATGAGACCTTCGTTCTTACTCTTATTAATGGGAAGGCATCTCTTTCGTATAGTGAGGTCACCGCTGCACTTGTGAATTATCAGCTTCGAAAGAAGGATAAGGAGACTTCGTTTGAGCCGGTAGCGGGGGCGTTGGTCGCAAGAGCAAAGGGTCCAAACCGTAGTGGGAGGTCGCAGTCTAGAGGGGCACATCTTGGAGTTCGTAAGAATCAGTGTGCCTTTTGCAAAGAGGATGGACATTGGAAAGCCGAATGCCCAAAGTTAGTTGATCGAGCTGGGAAGAATAAGGGAAAATCTATTCAAGCTTCAGAGGCGAATGTTGTCAAGGCTAGTGGCAACAATTCAGATTCAAATTCTTCGGGCTACTCATTATCTGCACTGCCGTCAGTTTGTGTTGTCTACTCTACAGAGTGGATGTTGGATTCGGGGACTACATACCACATTTTCCCTAGGAGGGATTGGTTCTCCAGCTTTCAGGAGTTGGAAATAGGGGATTTCGTGCTCATGGGGAATGATCACAAATGCTCTATTGGTGGTATCGGTACCGTTCGGATCAGGATGAGTGACGGGGTGATTCGAGAGTTAGTTGGAGTGAGGTTCGTTCCTCAGTTGAAGAAGAACATCATTTCACTTGGAGCTTTGGAGGCAGCAGGCTATAGGGTGACCTTGGCGGATGCACGCTTGAAGGTTACATTTGGGTCCATGATTGTGATGAAGGGCGTCAGAAGAAGAAATTTGTATTATTTGCACGGAAGCACGGTGATTGATAGGGAAATGACGACTTCATCAGATTCGGCTAGACTGTGGCATTGTTTGGTGCTGGGGTATATGATTGGTAATACCGTGCATTGGTTGTTGAGGAGTGCTATGACCTGCAGATTGAAGTCCTGTGAGCACATTAGGATGAGCGAGACCGTGGTGGAGTTTGGCACTTCTATCCATCGAGCGAGGGGTCTTTTTGGAGGTGTTCAGTCAGGCATTTGGGGGCCTTCCAAGGAGGCATCATTGGGAGGTAATCGTATCTTGGTTTCCACAGTTGGTGATTGTTCTAGGCATTATTGGGTCGCGACCAGTTCCCGTTGGTGTAAAGTCCTAGAAGTCAACAACAATTGGAAGAAGTGTATTGGCAGAAAGGTAACTCATTGTTTCAGCTTTGGTAGGGGTCCTTTCTTGCGTTGGTGCCGAGCTCACGGCAATAGGAGACACTTCATTGGTGTGGAGACTTTGGGGCGACGAGATGAGATGACAGTTTCGATGGGTCGTTCCTTTCTGGAGGAGGATCGGCGTTTGATGTCGAGCATTGGCATTGGTGTGCGGGCTTCGACATATTTGGGTCATCTTATGCATAGGTCGCCGACTGCTGCTTTTGTGTTTGTGCCGAGCTCACGGCAATAGGAGACACTTCATTGGTGTGGAGACTTTGGGGCGACGAGATGAGATGACAGTTTCGATGGGTCGTTCCTTTCTGGAGGAGGATCGGCGTTGGTTGTCGAGCATTGGTTCTGGAGCTTCGACATATTTGGGTCATCTTAGTCACAGGTCGCCGACTGCTGGATTAGGAGTTATTGAATCTGGTGGAGCTGCTTTAGATTTTGGGTTGCGTCGGATATTTGGATACCCAGCATTTGGTCACATCGAGGATGTGAGATTTGATCCGATTGCGCGTTTGGGGTTTGGAGGCTCAGTTGATTATCGTTTGGGAGCTTCTGATTTTGTTCTGAGCAGGTATGTCACTTTTGACTCTCGGCAGGTGGAGAGTGTTGATCAGATCGTTTGGATATCGCAGCAGGTGGAGAGTGATGCTACTCCACGTTGGGTGGAGATTACTCCACATACTCCAGATCATACTGCGTCATTTGGGATTCCAGCTGAGGTGACACAGGTTGGGGATCATTTGATTTCGGATGCAGATGATGGATTGGTTTTGGATTCGGTTGCAGCTGGTGGACATGATTTGGATACGGCCATTGGTTCACCTCATATGGAGGTGTTTGATTTGTATCAGTTTGGGGCCGCTATCAGTTGCAGATCCATTGGCGATATTGGGGAAGAGTTGCAGACTTTTCTATTTGTTTGAGGGCCTTTGGAGGCCGTTTGGGTGAACTACGTGAAGGCTTGATTCCTTGGGCAAGAGGATACGTAGGCAGTCAGTTTTGATGCAGCCGATTTGGTGAGTAGATACCGACGTTTGGGTGAGTGTTCGTACTCCCGTTTGGGTCTCGACTTGTGTGGATGGAGTCCGTTGTCATGAGTCCGTTGCCGTGGCGTACTGGATGCAACAAGTGAGGCATTTGTTTTGGTTGGTGTCGGCTCAGTGTTGGGAACACTTCGCCGAGGTGGAGAATTGTGAAAACGGCGAAGGAATTGTGAAAAACGTGAAGAATAACCCAAAACAGACTCCACCACACCCTGGTGTGGTGTCTGCCATGGGTGTGGTAGAATCTGTCCTGCACCACACCCTCTGCCACACCCATGGTGCAGGGTGTGGCAGACTCGTTTTTAGAATCCCAATCAGTTTGGGATTGTGTTTTGCTATAAATAGAGACACGTTTTTTAGGGTTTCCTAGGCTTGGTTTAGGCTTTGATTAAGCATTGATTGGGGGCTATTTGGAGCACAAAAAGAGGTATTTTTGAGCTATTTGTTTAGGGTTTTATTTGGAGAGATTAAGAGTTTTGTTGGTGAGATTAGTTTGTTCCTTTGAGTGATTTGTAATCTCAGTTTGTACTCTTTCTCTATTAGTGAAAACCCCATCCCCCCTTGCCCCGTGGACGTAGGCAACTTGCCGAACCACGTTAAAATTGGTGTTTTGTTTGTGCATTGATATTTGGTTGTTTTTGGCCTTCTTGGATCGGCGTTTGTTTTGGTTCCTCGGCGCCGCCGTCAGCACAACAGATTCATCATTTCTATTTAATTGCATGCCAGATTAGATTTCAATTTATATAGCGTGGTTGATTAAATTATCTCGAGATTCAGTTGTATGTTTTTTGAAGTATTATACTTTTATTTGTGCGACAGTAATGTGAAAAATTGTATTGCTGCCATTTGATTGGTGAAAATTTTCATTTTATATTTACGGATGTATGCATGCACTCATTTAATACTAAGTAGTTACTTAGTAATTACCTAGCTTAATGTCCTGCAACCTTCAGCATCTTCGTTGGAGAGAGCCTTCCAATGAGCCTGGACTTGAGAGAGTAGGACATTGCTAAGCCAGGTAGTTTTAGGCATGGCTAGACGTTGCAATTAGTTTATCTTTTTTTTAAGTACCAACTACCAAGAGACTTTCAAGATGTACAGGACCGTTCCCAACGCAGTCTTCATAGATATAATCATTTTCTTATTCTGTATTTGTTTTAAAAAAAGAATTAGAGAAATATGGTCAACAAGCCACTCTTGTCACTCTTTTTTTTGAAGATTTAAACAGAGTGAAAAACCCTGTTCAATTATAACTACATATATATTAAAACTTCGGATAGAATATTTACAAGAAAGTCTCCAAAAGAATTGAGAGAGAGTAAGAACCAGATGAGATATAAACGTCCGGGAGAAGACCTTGTCGTCACCGAACAGAGAACATCTAATATGCTTCCTACTTTCCCCCAAAAGACGAAAAGGGAGCTAAGAAGTTCGCAAAATTCATACTAAAAGAAAAAAAAAACAACAAAAAAGGAAAAACTTCAGGAAAGAAGAGGAAAAAGAACACTAAGTCTAGGCACTAGAAACTAATATATGATATATTTATCTTCAAAAATTTTCTCCCACTTCATCTCTCGCCCCCTCGTTTGCCAGCTCCTTCAGCCCAATCTTA